GGGGTTTCTTAATAAAAATTAAAAAGCTATTTTTTTTTTTTCTCTCTCTCTCCCTCTCTCTCTCTCCCTCAAAAAAAAAAAAAAAAAAAAAAAAAAAAAAAGGACGTTCGCGCCTGCACGAACACGTTTGAACGTGTTCGCGTTCGCCGGCGAGCGCCAACGGCGTGCAACGCAGATATCCGATAATATAGAGGGTAAGGATAATTTGTTGATCACCTTCGAAGAAGGAGGTAGATTCATTATCATATGACCAGATAGACAACGGTTTAGAGGAGTATAACAACAACCAAGTAGCTCTGGGAGGGGACTATGAGGCAATTGCAGCCCGTGGGGGAGGGTGACAAGGTAGAGGCCGAGGTCGAGGTGGAGGTCGAGGACCCGCTGCCCAGAGGGGTGGTGGCGAAGGAAGCTACCACGAGGGAGGGAGGGGTTATGGTCCCTCGCAAGGTGGGTTGTCCCTTCATAGGGGGTAGGTAGAGGTAGGAGTTGGCGGTCGTACCCAACACACTCAGGGATAGCCGAAGGCAAACCGTGGGAGCAGATGGGAATAGATGAGAAAGTTTGGGAAGCACATCCCAAGCCAACAAATGTTTCAAGTATGGTGACCCCGACCACACCAACTCATCAGTGCTTTTGCTCCATTGATTTCAATAAACATCAAAAAGATGGGTATCAGCATAGAAACATCGTTCCCTTCTATCCCGAATATAGGTACCCAAAAAGAAACAACCAGTAGAGGTTCCAGTTGCCTCTATGGGGACTTCAGACATAGACAGGAAGATAAAAGCGCATGTTGAACAGGCACCCTCCTGTGCTTGGGCCAAAATGAAGAAGAAGTCGAAGGGGCAGCTAATAATAGCAGTTGTAGAAGTCTAGCGCGTTAGTAGGCAGTGGGTCAAAGCGCAGTTATATCAATCGAAGAGGGTTGCAAAAGATGCACCTCGGTATGAAGTTGAAGGAGAGGAGCCGGCCATTAGTAAGTTGGCCGATAACAGACAAATGGTAGCGTGTGAGTATGTTGAAGGGGTCAAGGCATACTTCCGATTGGAGGCATGTCCCACGAAAGGCAGAAAAGGTTATGCACTCTCTGACACTCTTAGTGGAGGATAGCCTTCCTTTTGACATGATATAAGAAACAAACCGAGGCAACGCCGTGTACGCCGATATTAAGATGGCGAACGTGAGTGCTGGCTGCCCAGTCCCATAGGTGTGAAAAAGAAATTGCATTTGTACCATGCGTCCAGCGTAGCTTATCCCTTTGTTGTATGAGTGTCCCTTCGTTCTCTCCGCATGTGGTCAAGAATCACCTCGCTGAGCAAGTGTTTGTTGTTTATGTAAAACCGATTAGTGGGTAAAAAGAAAGAAGTGCCAATGTCACCCAATGTGCAGAAACTGTTAGACGAGTTTGCCGACCTGGGAGAGGCCCCAAGTGTAGTAGTTGAGAGGGAGACCAAGCACAAGATAGATATAAAACCCAGTAGCAAGATTCCCAAGGGTCCCATCTATCGAATTCTCCCAAGAAGCTCGATGAGTTGCAAACAATTACATGAAACGATAGACAAAGGGTGGAATAAGCCAAGTTCCTTGTTGTATGGTGCACCGGTCTTGTTAGTGCCAAAGAAGGAGGGCGATCAAGGTCTCAACGCGATTACCATAAAGAACGCAGAGCCATTGCCATTGATAGACGACCTTCTGCATAGAGTGCAAGGTTGTAAGTATTTCTCGAAGATTGACTTGAAATCGGGCTACCATCAGATTAAGGTACTGCTTGAGGATCCGCACAAGAGGGCCTTTAGACCTCGATCCGACCACTATGAGTTTCTGGTCATGCCATTTGGGTTGACTAATGCCCCTGCTACCTTCCAGCGTTGTATGAATGAGCTCTTCCATGACTGGCTAGATATGATATTTTGATTTTCAGTAAGTCGTTAGAAGAAAACGAGCAGCACCTTCGGTTAGCGCTAAGCAAGTTGCGTGAAGCTGAGTTCAAGCTAAACCCAAAAAAGTGTGAATGGACTAAGTGTCAGGTATTGTACTTTGGTCATGCGCTTCATGGAGATGGAATCAAACCGAAAGACGCTAAGATAGCAACACTAAGAGATTGGTCGACACTGCATACGTTAATGGAACTATGGCCGTTCCTTGGTCTGGCCAACTAGTACCGCAACTTCATACGAAAATTTACTGAAATAGTTGCTCCATTGAGTAAGAGTAGGTTGTCGAGGAAGGAAACAATTTGGAAATGGGATAAGGACTGCACCTCAACCTTTGAGCATTCGAAGAAGTGCTTGATAGAGTACCCGATCTTGAAAACCGTTGATCCACCTTTACCATTTATTGTTACCACGGACGCCAGTCAATACCAGATTTGTGTTGTACTCCAATACAATAATTTGTGTATTGGGTGCATACCCTTTCAGTTCATGTCCTGTAGGCTACCTAGTGAGAAGGTTACCGCTTCCATGTATGAGACAGACCCGTTTAGTTTATGTCCTGTAGACTGCCTAGTAAGAAGATCACTGCTTCCATGCAGAGAGAGCTGTTTGCTCTGAGAGAAGCCTTGAATCATTGGCGACATTACCTCCTAGGTCGGCATTTCAAAGTATATTTGGACCATGAGACACTTCGCTGGCTAAAGACCCAACCCCATATGACAAGGTGGGTTGGGGAGATAGATCAATTTGACTTTGAACTTGAGCTAGTAAAGGGGAAGTATAATGTCGTTACGAATGCGCTTAGCAAACGAGCTGATTTCTTCGGTGCCATAGTAACATATTTGGATACAGGCGCCGAGTTACAAAAGAAGATTAGAACCACTTACGCTAGTGATCCTGTCTATAGTGATCCTGTCTATAGTCAATTGATTAACAAGGCGTAGACGACACCACACGAAGTTCCAGACTGTAGGATGGCCCAAGGACTGTTGTTTGAGAAGACGGATATGCACGACAGACTATGCATACCGAACACTGAGGGGATTCACAGTCTAATCCTAGAGGAATGCCACGATACTGAGGGACATTTCGGTTGGAGGAAGACGTATGCTAACCTCTTACTTTCCTATACGTGGATTGAAATGAAGCATGACTGTATAGCTTATGTGCACGGCTGCAAAGTGTGTCAAAGGAACAAAAGTTTCATGCAGCCTCCCCTTGGTTTACTTAGACCACTGCCTATACCGTCGGGTCTTGGAGACTCGGTGTCTATAGACTTTAGGGACACTATAAGGTGGGAAGTTGAAGCGGGAAAAGCCAAGTTATGGTGATGGTTGACAAGTTTAGCAAGTTCGTTGTTTTCGTATCACTCCCTACTGAAGTTAGGACAGACTCAGTAATTCGAGAGTTGGGTGAAAGACTATGGGCATCCCTTGACTACAGTAAGTGACATGGATACAAGATTCACGAGTGAACACTGGCAACAACTCATGGAGGTCTATGGGTCCAAACTTACTATGTCTTCAAGCAGACACCTTGAGACAAACAGACAGACTGAGCAAATGAACAAGGTGTTACAACAAGTTCTACATATGTATATCCGACCAGATCAGATTGACTAGGATGAACATCTGGCCAAGGTCGCTAGTGCCTACAACAATTATGTGCCTCTAGCTACAGCGAGAACGCCCACGAGCTGCATTTGGGTTGGCAACCATGCAGGCCCGTTGACTGTCTGAGCCCTGATCAAGTGCAAAGTCTTCCTCCAAGGACTAGAGAATTGGTTGTGCAGTACAAGAAAGATCTAGACCGAGTCAAGGAGAACATAAGGAAGGCACAACATTAGACGATCGAACAAGCAAATAAGCACCACATACCTTCACAGTTTGTTGTGGGGGAAGTCTAAGGAGTTTCTCCTAGAGGAGAACATCTCTAAGAAGTTAATGCCTGCATATAGAGGACCATGGCAGATACTAGATGTGATTGGTGATGTGGATGGTCCTTCCTACGTTGTTGCGATTCCTCCACATTTGCACACTTACCCGGTGTTTCATGCTTCTAAGTTGCTCCCTTGTGTCAACAATGATCTATTTGTGTCTCGAAGATCTATGATTCCTCCTGATATGGATGGCAAGTATAACATGAACAACATCGTTGCAAAGGATGTCTGTAGATCTCAATGCAGGGGTAAAACCCAAAGACAATATAAAGTCAGATTCGTTTATTAGGAACTCTTAGAGGATCACTGGTTTACGAGAGAGGAGCTGATAGAAACAACACCGCATATAGTGTGTTACTACGAGAGAGCTAGAAGAGGAATCAACATAGTTGACAAATAAAGTTTGTAACTTTCTCGAGGGACCTCGAAATCAAGCCGGCGAGACTGGAAGGCATTTCACGATGCAGACCTCAAAGTTGAATCTCAGGGTCAAAATCCCTGAGCCAAAAAAGGCCAGGTCGGCCAGTTTCAAAAAGGTTACGTCGGGTGCCCCAAAGGTAAAGTCCAACAGGTACTCGGTCAACAGTCAGATCCCAAAGGCAGAAGTCACGTCTCATAGTCCGAAGTCGGATCCTATAGGCAAGGGTCGCGACCCATAGTCAAAGGTCACTTCCCATAGACCCGAAAGCAGCAGCACACCAAGGGAAACTCAGGAAGGTACCAACCTGTGTGTCGCCAAACTTGCACACAGACAATGAGGTTGGGCTCTTCGCCCAGCCTGGAGATATAGTGGCCTGCTTGCCTCTTGGGCGGTGACTTCCTGGCCGCTCGGCCTTCCAAGCAACCAGTACCTCCTCCCTTTCGAAGGGAAACATCATTACAAACTCTCATATTGCCCATACAGGCCTAAACTCAGACTGGTTGGACTGGTACCCGCCTAGACCTAGCCTACAACTATTGGGCCTCTAAAAATGCCAACTTTTGTCTTCTTCTGCTCGGCCTAAAGTACCCGGCACGTCTACCTCTTCAGGGTGTGGTACCGGCCTACCTACTACTTGAGTGTTTCCCCATTGCTTCAACTGTTGCGGGCCTCTTCTCCCGCCACTTGTGTTTTCCCCGCTGCAGACCTCAATGTCATGGCCACAGGTAAGTACCTTCCCTGAGGGCCCCACGAACGAACAGGTGCCCTTGCGGGTCACACACACTCAAGCCAACAAGCACTCAGAAACACATGCAGATCAACACGCGTGCACACACACAGACATGCAGACCAGCAAGCATGCACAAACATAGACTTAGAGAACTTAGTAGCAAGCGGGAAACTCAACAGGGCTTTAGTCCATGAGCAAGACTCAGAACTCAGTTGTGTCTCAGTCCGTGTTTGGTCGGGTCATCACACTACCCCCCCCCTTAAGAGCAAGGTCCTTTCGAGCGAGTAACTCAGTCCAAGTCCCCGACAAACGCATCGTAAGCAAACAAAGCAAAGAGATTTCGAGAGTATTATGTCGCAATAAGCTTTGTAGAGATTTTGGGAACAACATTAAAGGCGGTTTATCGTTCGTAGGCTTTAACAACAAAGGTGCGTTGCGCAATAGTTCCTTCTTGGAGATCCAATAGAGATCGTCCAATGGGTGATACATAAGGTGCACCTGGTACTGTTTGTTACGTCCCTTACCTATGTGCTGTTTGATTCTATCAATCTCATGACCGCCATCGATTGCACGAGGAATCATGTCTTCACGGTAATCGAAGGACTTAGCATCACGGTGGATATACAGTTTTGATGCATGAAAGACGAGGTATGTGCGTAGATGAGGTGGCACAACAACTGTGTATGTGGGGCCAAACCCATCCTTGCCAATCACATCCAAAACTTCCCACGGACCAGAATAGAGCGGAAGAAGTTTGCGTGAGACTCCCTCTTCTTCTGAGAATTCTGACATCTTGCCAGACATAACTTCCCGCTTAATCATGTCTTCACGGTAATCGAAGAACTTAGCATCACAGTGGATATACAGTTTTGATGCATGAAAGACGGGGTATGTGCGCAGATGAGGTGGCACAACAACTGTGTATGAGGGGCCAAGCCCATCCTTGCCAATCACATCCAAAACTTCCCACGGGCCATAATAGATCGGAACAAGTTTGCGTGAGAGACTCCCTCTTCTTCTGAGAATTCAGACCTCTTGCCCAGATGTAACTTCCCACTTCAATATTTGAAGGTCGGCGCTTCTTGTTTGCATGATAGATCATTGCGTGTTGTCACTTGGTCATTGTTGCGATGGCAACTTTGAGCAAGCGATCATACTTGGCCCCGAAGCCAGGCTTGCCGGGTTTCAAACCAGCTGGCTGTTCAAGGAATAGGTAGGACAGCGGATCACGAATCTGCCAACTGTAATGCAGCCTATTTGGGATCATGCCAATGGACGAATGGATGGAGTTGTTGTACAACCCCTTAACGGAATACAACTCTTCATCCCACGTTTCCTGGTCCGAAATGATTGAAGTGCGAAGAAGTTGAGGCCAAATGTTATGCATAGTCTGAGGCCAGGGAGTTGGGACGTGAAATCCTTCAATTCGGTACTTACGAAGCACGGGTCCCGATCACTCACAAGAGTTTTCGGGGTTCCGAACTGCAGAATGTACTTATGTTCGAACTCACGGATCACCAATTCAGTTGGGACAAGATCGCATTGGGATTGCAGCCAGCCCAAGCCAAGGACTGCCTTGAAGGGACACTTGTCAAGGACATAGAAGTTCAATGCGTGGGTGACTGTCTTGTCCTTGTCAAAGGTAGTGCACACACCTTTGACTGCATGCGTAGATGAGACAACTCATATGTTGCCTACTTGAGTCCGTCAAGGGTTCTGCAAAGCCACTTGCTTTGTCCCTAAGCCCACTTTGTGTATCCCGTGTGGTGACATGAAGTTAGTTGTCGCACCACAATCAACCAAGACACGAAGATAGCGGTGGTTTATGAGAAGGTTAACTTCACTGTCCCTTGAGCACGCTGATGTTTCATCTCAGCCCAATGCTCTGAGTGATAGTGGAAGTCAATCGTCTCACACTCCTCCCAAGGCTCAGCATACAAAGCATGACAAACTTCAGCCTTGGAATCAGCAGGCGACGGGGCTTCAAGAAAGGAATGTTGAACTGCATCAGATTCAGTCTCCCTTGCCCTAGAGGGTGCTGATGCCAACTCTACGCCCAAATCTGGTTTCCCTGCAGCCTATAGCAATCTTGCACTTTATGGTTCGTTTTCAGGCAATGCAGGCAACCCCCCATTCTCATTCTCGCCTTTTTGGCTGGGATTTTGGCTCCCTTTGGAAGTGCGATGAAGCTCCTTACTGAATTTCGGTTCTGGCTTCCCTTCCCATGGGCAATCTTTTCAAAGGCACAAAATTTATCATCTTCATTGTTTACGTCCTTGGGTGCTGGATGGGGCGCATGGTGGTCCTTGGGTGCACGTGGCATCTGTGGGGGGTATCCAGGTTGTGAGTGATGCGTGAGACATACCTGGTGCTTGAGGCGAACGGCATTGGCCGAGATCTGCTCGTAGTTCTAGGAAGTTGTTGACGTCACCAGCGGGACCCATTGCCGCCCCCGATCTTGCGACACTCCTCCACATTATGGCATCCATCCACTCATCCATCAGTGACATCAAAGCCACCGTCGCCGACATCTCCCGTCGCGTCACCGCCATCGAAGGTAGCACCCCCGCCATCGCGGTCGTCACAAGCACCCCACCCCCTACTACAAACACACCAACGACCTCCACTACCCCACCGACAACATCCACGCCTCCTCCACCTACCTCCTCGTCCACTCACATCTCCCTCCCCCGCCAACACCTCGTCTGCATCCCCTTCCACCTCTGGCAAAGCAATCCCACGCCCCCCCTCGCCACGAACGACCACCACCACCGTTTCCCCACAACCAAAAACACTCACCACCCTCGTCTCTTCTCTCCCTTATCGCCAACAAGCGAACGCAAAACCCCATTCCTTCCTCGAGAGGGCCAACCTTGTCCCCTGCACATTCCAACCGCATAAGACGGTCGGGGACTACTTTGAACAACTTCGTCGCTTTCAACACAACGGCCCGACTGACCGTTTTGTCCAATACATCTGTGCACTAAGACAAAACATCCCCCTTGACTACGCCAGCAATGCTGCATTCATCTCCCGCTTCAAGTGAGGATGCCGCAAGGACCTCGCCGCCTCCCTCGTCCACGACCCGCAATGTCCCTCCCCGATCTCCTCAACCGTGCCATTCACCTAGACAAACTCCTCAACTCGCACAAGGAAGCACTCACATCCCCCCCCACCCCGCCCACAATTTTTTCACAACATCACCGACGAAATCTCTCTCCCCACCTCCTCGGATGAGTTCTCTGCCCCGACACCAACACCCTCTCTGACGCACTAGACACCACATCACTCTCCCCCGACGAACTCTTCGCCGTCCATTTCATGCGGATGGAAAGGAGAGAACGCATCAGCCGTCCTCCTACCAACACACACCCAACCCGTCTCAAGAAACTCACGCCAGAGGAGCAAATCTACCTCCAAGAAAAGGGTGGTTGTTTCCCGTGCCGACAGTTAGGACATCAACATACAAACTGTCCAAATGTCGAACAGTTCACACGTCAGGCACCCAGGTCCGCGGCCCCCTGACCCGTCACTTCCGCAACCCCAACATCCGCCACTTTCGGTCCCTCCTCCACTTGAACATTGTCCCCAGGATCGCCATATACTTGTCCGGGCATCGACAATTCGTCTGCCTCCCCCCTCCCTGGTGACGCACTTCCCACCGGACAATCCCCAAGTGTCGCAACCCACGTCGCCCGACTCTGCTCCCACTGGCACATGTTCCTCTACCCTTCTCCCACATCCATCCTTGATCACCTTCTCAAATGTTGTCGAGGAACAAGCCCGACACGATCGGCTTGTCGGATTAGGCACCGAACAACGCCGCCTCAACGCCATCATCTCCACCGCCTACTCATCCCGCTTCCACCTCAAGTTTATCGCCGCCACCCTTGGTGCGTCTACAACCAAGTTTCGGGCCCTCCTTGACATTGGAGCTACCGGTAACATCACCGACGCGTGTGTCCGAAAACACCTCTACCGGTTACGACTCCCCGATTACCATTTGTCTAGGGGACAAAAACACCGTCGTTGTAGTAGACCGCACGGTTCCCGAGACCACCATGACTGTTAGAACCCTCCGCAGTCAGGTCTCATTCAATGTGATGCACCTGATGTGCGACATCGTCTTGAGAACACCTTGGCTGGACCCTTACATGCCATACGCCTTCCACCCCAACTTCTTTCGCCTCACCAATCCCCCTGACACGCCCATTGACATCCCGTACTACCCCCACCCCACCTCGCAAACCTTCCTCACCCCTCACCAATTCCTCCACATGGCTCGTAAAAAAACCCGACTCCACTTACTATTGCCTTGTCCTTGACCGCGAGCGTCTTGAGGACCTACTCCCAAGGAAAAAACCCGATCAAGCCCCCCCCCCACCAACCCCGTCCTCACCTCCATCCTCAATGAGTTCAAGGACGTTTTCCCCGAGTCATTGCCCGTCGGAATACCCCCGGATCGTGGTGTCTCCCATACCATCGATCTGGAAGCCGGCCACACTCCGCCGTGCCACCCTCCATATCGACTCTCTGTCCCGGAAGCCGAAGAAATATTCATTAAGCCAAGCTCCTCACCCTTCGGTACAAGCTGCCTTTTTGTCAAGAAAGGCAGAACCTCAGAACTAAGGATGTGCACAGACTACTGTGCCTTGAACCCCCTACCTCGGATCTCCGAGCACTCCATGGAGCCAAGTATTTTACCAAGATCGACCTTCGCTAAGGCTTTCGCCAAATCCGCATCCATGAGTAGGACACCCACAAAACCGCATTCTACTCTTGGTTTTGGGCACTACGAGTTCCTCGTGACGCCTTTTGGACTCACCAACGCCCCCGCCACATTCCAATCCACCATGAACCACATCTTTTGCAGCCTCCTTGAAGTTTGTGTCGTCGTATACCTCGACAATATCCTTGTTTATAACCCCACCTTCGAGTCCCACCTTCAACACCTTTGCCAAGTCCTCTCCATCCCCAAAGAGCAAAACTTCTACGCCACGCTCAACAAATGCACCTTTGCTGCCTCTAGTGTAGAATACCTTCGCCACATCGTCTTTGCTGAAGGAATCCGCATGGACCCCTCGAAGGTCACCACCCTCGTTGAGTACCCCTCGCCCGAGACTAACTCCAACTACGCTCATTCCTCGACCTTGCCAACTATTATCGCCCCTTCATCCGCAACTTCTCCGACATCTTTTACCCACTCCACAAACTTACACGCAAGGACTAGCCCTTCAATTGGAACGACCGCCGCCAAAACGCCAGTGACTTACTCAAACAAACCATCACCATGGCCCGTCCTTGAGATCGCCGACCCCTCTCGACATTTCTACGTTACCACCGACGTATCCGACTTCGTCGTTGGAGCCGTTCGCAAGCAAGAAGCTCCTTCCCCCGGAGATGTACTACCCCTCCAACTAGAAGGAACTCATCGCCGTGATCCACGCCCTCAAAGTCTGGCGCCCGTACCCCGACGGGCAAAACTTCACCATCCGCACTGACAACACCATTGTCTCTTCTATCCTCACTAAGAAAGACATCACGCCATGCCAAGCCCGCTGTTTAAACTTTCTTGCCCAGTTCACATTCACCATTTGCCACACCCCCGACAAAAGCAACCACATTGTCGATGCCCTCTCTCGACGCCCCATCCACAAGCCCCTTGAGAAAGTCTACGCCACGATGGCTCATATCCACCTCCTCCCGTCACTCCACCACTGCTACACCCAAGGCTACCTCTCTTGCCCGAATTTCTCAACTATCTAAACAAACTTTGTGACCTCGGCCCGAGCCCCGACTACTCCCTTCAGGACCAACTTCTTTACATCGACACCAAAGGCACTCGCCGACTTTGCATCCCCGACGCACGTGGTCTCCGTACCCAGCTCTTGGCCGAGCACGACGACGCCAAGACTGCGGGACACCTCGGGTTCTAGAAAACCTTCGACACCATCTCCCACTACTTCTACTCGCCTTCCCTACTGGCCGACGTCAAAGCATACATTCGCTCATGCCCCACGTGTCAAGCCGTCAAAACCCCTTGAACCAGGCCAAACCCGGCAAGCTACAATCATTGCCTATCCACACCCACCGATGGCAGTCCATCTCTATAGACTTCGTGTGTGGTCTTCCCAAGACTGACTACAACCACAATTGCATCTACGTCATCGTTTGTCGCTTGACTAAACGTGCCACTTCGCCAAAGACATCGCCACCACGGCCTCCTCGAGAACATAATCACTGACCGTGATCCCCGCTTCCACTCACAATTCTGGAAACACCCCTTCAAACCATATGGAACTATGCTCAAGTATAGCATTGATTTCCACCCCCCGACTGATGGACAAAACGAGAAGATGAACAATCCTCTCCAAAGAATCCTACGGAAGTATTGTCATCCACACCAACACAACAATCAGTTGCTCACCGCCGCCGAGATCGCCTATGACAACGTAGTCTGCCCTTCCACTGGCATGTCCCCGTTCTACCTCGACCTTGGCTACCATCCTCACTTGCCCTTCGGCTTCTTGCTTCCTTCACAACTCAACCCCTCCACCCCCGCCCTTCTCTCAATGAATGGGTAGCAACAATGAACAAACTCCTCAGAGAAGCCACCGAAGCCCTTGAAACACAAGAACAAGAAGCCAACAAGACCAACAAACACAAACGTGACGTGTCATTCAAAAAAGGGGACAAAGTATGGCTCTCCGCCAAACGCTTTGAACCCGAACACGGCTTGTCCAAGAAACTCACGAACAAACCTCCCCCGTCACTCCCCCTTGACATGAGTCCACCCTGTCTTCCACGTAGAATACCTAAAAGAATACCATGAATCCCCACCCCAATTCGCTGCTCGCCCATATCCTAAACCTCCACCAATCACGTTACCCACAGGCCATGAATTTGTCGTCGAAGCCACCGTAGGACAAAGAACTACTCAAGTATCTGACCACCCTGAACCAATCAGAGAATACAAAGTTAACTAGACAAGATACCCTGACGAAGAATCCACATGTGAACCTCTTGCTAACCTTAAACCACCAGTACTTGGCCCAGCTATCGGCCGTGGAAAAAAATAGAGTAGAAACGTTTCTAGTTGGATGAATTTGGGTGCTCCTGTAGTGGCCCGTACGTTTCCTAAAATTGTGTAGCGTTAACGCTACGCGACTTTAGGAAGTACTGGTGGTTTAAGAATGCCATGAAACTTGTTCGCGCCTATGATTGCACCCATCCTATATCCTAGCCTCCCACTATGCCTAAACTCTGCCTAAACCTCGCCTGAACCCTGCCACAACCCTGCCTCCCTGCACTACACACATCCCCTGTGCCCAGGGAAACCCTTGCCCCTTGACCTCCCTCTGTCTGATCCGCTCTTGCCTCCGTCTCCCCCTATTCTCCCATTTGTCCTCTGCCACATCTTTGTCCCTCTGGTCCAAGTCCTACATGTGGCCCCGGCGCGTCGCCGGGGATAACGGATCTAATGGCAACGATGGCATGCTGCAGCTCACTACGAGGAGATAAGACAGCTGGTTGGCCACCATGCTGTTCCCTTTGGCCGGCACCTTGGACTCGCAGACTTCCGGAGCAGCACCTCTGACATGGATCAAAAGCATTGAACAAACAATTTTTTTTTTTTTCATTTTTTTTTTCTCTCAAACCTGACAACCTCTAACCCTGTAGAACATCAATAGGATTACGTGAGTGGGAAAAGATGGTGGGTTATCACGCGTCCTACCAGTGAGGGGGCTAGCTGGCAGGATGGTAGCATGGTATAGCAGCAGCTGAGATGGTGGCTCCGCTGCAGTCAGTCTTGCTGGAGTGAGGTACAGTGGATAGATGGGGGTTCTTCTGAGTCGGGTCAATAATCACATGTCTGAAGCCAAAAAAAGTGGGAGAAGATGGTGGGTTATCACGCGCCGTACCAGTGAAGGGGCTAGCTGGTAGGATGGGAGTATGGTATAGCAGCAGCACAGATGGTGGCTCCGCTGCAGTCAGTCTTGCCAGAGGGAGGTAAAGTGGATTGATGGGGGTTCTTCTGAGTCGTTTCTGAATCATGAAGTTGTCATAGATATGTCTGAAGTAGCTCTAATTCTTTGAGCCAAAGCCGGGGAATGGCCCCGGTATCTCAATCTTCAAATTCCATTGTTAGGCCAATTGGATTTTTCTAGTAGGTCCTAGCCTCAATTGCATGAAATTTTCTGATGAAGTTTTCTGCATGTACTCGTTATGGGACGCTGGGCCCGGTTCCCAGTTCGTGCCAATTAGTGAGGATATGGTTGTATCTATGGGACGCTGGACCCGGTTTCCAGCAGGTGTTGATCCCCACCAATAGATGGAGCTTTGTTTTTGAAAAAAAAAAAAAAAAAAAAAGGATTACCCTGTTACCTGAACATTGCTACCCTCACCCTTGTAGAACCTCAATAGGATTACCCTGTCACCTGAACATTGCTACCCTCACCCTTGTAGAACCTCAATAGGATTACCCTCTTCTTTAGCATTGATTCCCTCATCCCTGTAGAACCTCAATAGGATTACCCTGCTACTTGCATTGCTCCCCCTTTCCTTTCTGACCAGTGATCGGCCCCGTCCCGTCCTTCACAGTTGTTCATTAGGTTTTTAACAGCCGAGACGTTGCCTTCCAGAGGGAGGGGATAGTGTTATGGACTCAGCCAGGGCTCGATCCCTCGTCCGCGCGTTACCACCCGCCAGGCGGCTGTTTTATTTTTGAGTCTTTGATCTCCGGTCCCTGACTGTTGGTGCCCTCTCCAGTTGGCAACCGTTCTCAAATTCCTCCTCTGGCACTTTCGGATTTCGATACTTGGCGCCACCCGGCATTCTGGCGCCCAGGCTCAGACCTTCGATTTTGAGTTGGGCCCCGAGGCAAATTGCACTTCTGCCCTCGGGACTCAACTTGAGTCCGGTACTTGAGACCGGACTCAAGCTCAGTTCGACATTCAGTTTTCAGCCTCAGTGCTTGTGCTTCAGTGTGACTTGCTGCGACATTGTGTTCAGAGTCCAAGATTGCGACTTTGCGACTTTGCGACTTTGCCTCTCCGTGTCTGCGGCTGTCGCGTTGAGTCGAGTCCGTGTCGAGTCGAGGGAGTGTGTGTGTGCTCTCACTCTCTCCCTCTCTCTCTCCCCCCGCCTTGCTACTCTGCCTCCGCCTCGTCACACATATGGTGAGAACCACGCAGCCTTTGCCACGTCAGCACCCCTTTCACAGAGAGACTAGTCCGGCGATTTATTCCCTTGTGGGAGCCAGGCAGCGAGTGCCACGTGGACACGAGCATATGGTTACAACCACTCTGCAAGTGCCACTTCAGCACTCTATCAAAGAGATGTCGTCAAACTTGAATAGCATGGTCGTCTTCAATCCAACAGCAAATCGACGAGACGAGGTGAGTTCGCTCTGATACCAAGTTGTAATGAGCCCAGTCTCGTCAAATAATCACCTTGTCAAATAACAATGTTGTGCAATGTCGTGAGATAATCGTTCCAGCAAGTCCATCAATTCGAAGTCATTGAAGTACATGATCTCTCATTCCCATGTATAAAGTCTCCGGGTCAAGAGTATCCAGACCAGAAAAGAGATTTGGGAAGGAAAAGACAGATGGAGGGAGAAGAATGTTGCAACAGTCAAGTTCCTCTTCTCCTCCAGGCTTCCCACCTCTGCCACATCAGCAATCTGCGCACAGTATGACACGTGGATGATGTAAATGCAGCTTCTCGCAGATAATCGATCCTCCAGCAGAGACCAGAATCATCAGCAGCATCACATCAGATGAGACCAAGTACGCGCACACGACATCACAATCTGCCCACTCTTTCTCTCTACTCACTACCTCGCCGTCGTCTATGGTCGCAGCAATGTATGCCTTCTCTCTCTCCTCCTACTACAGTATCTGTCTGACGCCAGCACCCACTCCTCAAGTCTCACGTGCAGCGTCGAAGCCGCAAGCAACTCGCAAGACTGAATGCCCAAGCAGTGGGGAGGTCAACCTTATATATTGTCGACTCGCGCTGTTCAGGGTCAGCGCTTGTCCATGTGAGGCCCCGGATTCTTCCGAATGTCGACGGCTTAGATCCGATTTGTCCCAGTTTCGGTCTAGACTCCTTGAGGCCTGAATCTTCCGGAACCTGCATTCCAGATCGACGGCCAGGAAATCTTATGTGTTGACTTTACCTTCTTGGATCTGGGCCTGGGTCAACGAGCCGACTGTTGACATTTCGGTAAACTGTCAGTCTAGGCCGCTTTATAGGGCCTGTTTGACCCCTTCTTTCAGGGAATCTTATGTGTTGACTTTACCTTCTTGGATCTGGGCCTGGGTACACGAGCCAACTGTTGACATTTCGGTAAACTGGGTCTAGGCCGCTTTCTATGGCCTGTTTGACCCCTTCTTTCAGGGCTGCCTGTTCGTGCTTGTCTGAGGGCACAACCAGAGCCCAGCAGCTCGATTTGGCACAAGAGTTACAGCAGTATGGGCCAACTGGTATAATGGTACCAGCAACACGGCCTGTGAGCCAGCTAAGGGCCAGCAAATACAAGGGGACGGTCGTGAGCAACCTTTTGGAGCGGGAAAAGTAGGAAGTGTATCAGGACGGTGTCTCCTTTTCAGCTAGCCACAGCACGCTCCCTGTGCTGATGACACCCCCGCGGAGTACGTGTCGGTTCACAGTCAATCCAGATCAGACAGTCAATCCGCCCAGAAGGGGGCAATCAATCTTGTCAGAGCATGACCTAGGATAGCAATAGGATAGCAATAGGTGCATGTTCCTTACAGGGCCAGCTATCTCAGATTCTCCAGGCCATAACCGAGGTGTCGAGTAAGTGCCATAGATGTAAGGGACGCTGGACCTGGTTTCCAGCTCTTGCAATAAAAAGCAAGACCGCCTTTTCTTTTACAAAAAAGAAAGAAAGAAAAAACCTGCATGGCAAAACAGATTATGACAGAAAAACAATTCATTGTTTTACTCCCTGCTGCTACTGGTAGCCCCACATATTTTGCATTCGGTAGGCCAGGACTTCAAATGTGGAAATTTGTTAAAATAGAATCAGGGGTGAGAGTCATGAACTTTTGGCCTTCGCAAGAAGAGTGCAGAAGAGCAAACGGGAATACTCCCTGGTACAACAGCAAAAGGGATATTTCGCCCGCCATGCATAACATCAGCAATTCCTCATGAGGCACAGTTCTGCCAATTGCAGCTTCCACAGTCCTTGTGCAGTGGGGTGACTTCCTCACTTCGGTTCATGCTCCAAATTCGTGATAGCAACGAGGTGAAGAGAGCACAATCACCAGGTGGTGCTCATATAAGATACGAATGTTCCTCACCTGAACAGTGTTCGTTGGTAACTGATTAATACATCTCCTTGAAGCCCCTCCCCTCCGACGTTCATCATCATTTTGTTCATCCAGTGCAAGCAGCATTTCATAGTCCGTTCTGCAGATATACACCAATGGGGGGACGAGCGGCATGTGAAAAAACTGAGTTACTTCAGGCATGTTAACAAATTCTTTTATGCAGTCACCAATGCCACAAAAAAAAAAAAAAAAAAAAAAAAAAAAAAAAAACCGTAAAGTCATAAACCATGCACCAAAGGGGGAGTGAAGAGAGAAAAGAGGCAGTGGCCTGTGACAACTTTGTATGCGTCCAGGGAGAGACCCATGCAAGATTGTGAGCATATTTGCATCGATGGGCAGCCATCACTCATCTGCGCATTCCATTCCCCCAAGCAAAAGGTAGCGAAAGAAGACTGTGGACTCGCACTTCGGAAACATTCCCTTCTTCAACAACTCTCAGAAATACGTGACCTGGCAGAATCCTTGAGAACCATGAGGGGACCCCCATATGTGCAACTCATAAGTCGGATTCAACTTTCCTTGTGACACGCACAGCATCAGTGCACAGTTACAAATTTTGAAAATCAAGGGCTGTCAGTATGTTGTCATGTTCACTATACACAACACAAAAAAAGCAAGATGTGCAGACTGTTTCATTGGAATTTCACCGACATACCCGGAGTAGTAGATTCGAAATTGAAGCTGGCCACATGCCTATGTGCCATAACGGCCCATTTGCACACTGTGAAAGGAGACGGAGTAAAGGGGGAGGTATACTCCTGTTCATTTTTCCTCAGATCTTCACGTTATATTTTCTGTTCACTTAGGAAGGAAAGGGGTAGGGGGGGGACTTCTACAGGAGGAGGGAGAGAGGGAAGAGGAGGGAAGTGAAGGGTCTAAGGAATAGAACAGTGGAAAGACAAACTTCACAGGGTTCTCAATACTCACCGCTGGAGCAGACTACTATAGAATGGCACAAGAGGCCAGTAAGTGTTTGGCTTGAGGGGAAATTTTGAGTTGAGGAGCAGATCCAAGCAGGTGTTGCCTACGATAAGTGGCCATCTCAACAGACCGAGCAGGACCTGCTTGGGTGTGGACTGTGGAAGCACCGCATCCAATTCTCGCAGTTGCAATTGCTGCATCGAATAGCACAGTGCAGACGAATGTCACAGGCTACATGGCTCCTACATGCTAGGAACACAGAGGCACGTCAACCGCAATTGTAAAGGCCATTCCAGTCCCTGTCTACAAATAGGACATGCCGTGTCAGGGTGTCGTACATGAGCACATTGTTCACTGTCATGATACATATGAAACCAAAAACTTGCATGGGCTATACCTTCATAGTCCTCACAACACACCCATTCCAGGCACACAACCGGGAGGCCCACGGCCATGTTCTAGGCCAAGGCACCTTTTTGGTGCCACCCAGGCTCTCGTTTCTCAGCATTTACTTATCTATTTATTTATTTATTTATTTATACTGACCCTTGCCTGGTTCTATTTTCGCCTACTTCAGGGCATTGTTTCAGACTTTTCAGCATGTCCGAACAGACCAGTATCTGTTCAGACCAAGGCCAAGTTTTTTGCCACGTTCAGTTTCGTCCGGTAGCAGACTTCCCCTGCCCATCAGCAGGGAAGGCCTGGACGTCCGGTAGGGACCCAGGCAGGCCGTTTTTAGGTCAGGCCCAGGAGCAGGACTTTTCCCTGCGATCTCGCGGCCCGGATTGCAGGTCGTGGGCAGTACACCCAGGCCCAGCGCTACTTATAGCTGGGCCAGTCCTGCTGCTGGGCAGACAGACGTCCCCACTTCTTTCCGGCGTCACAATGTTCGAGCAGTGCACTACTTTCAGCGCT